GGTCCTCTCTCAGGGGTTGTCTGGACTATTTTGGACTGGACTAAATTCTTCTGCCTTTTCATGGTGATAGCGGTGGCTGTAGGCAGGAGGCAGGTGTGTCAGCTGGGAGAAGAAAGTCCTTTGTAAGTGTGCCGGGATGACTTTGTCCAGCTGTGGGGTTCCTGTCTCTTTAAGACTTGCAAAAAGCACTCCCTTTTCTTTTGTCTCAGAGGCGCCAGTTGCGGGGACCTGCCCACAGGTTTTGCTTCTCCATTTCTCTAATATCCAGCACCCATGCACTGTGTGTATGTGCTCTGGGGGCAGATTTCTAGAGCTGGTTGTTTAGCAGTCCTGGGCTTTCACTCCCTCCCTGTTCTGACTCTTTTCTTCCCGCCAGGGTCTGGGGTAGGGAGGGGCATTTGGATTCCACTGGGCCGCAGCTTGTATCTTACCCCCTTCGTGTGATGCTGAGTTCTTGCAGATGTAGATGTAGCCTGGCTGTTGTACTGTATCCACTGGTGTCTCTTTTAGGAATAGTTGTATTTGTTGTATTTTCATAAATATATATGTTTTTGGGAGGAGATTTCCACTGAACTACTCACGCCACCATCTTGGCTCTGCCCTGTAGCAGGCTTTTGATACTGATCATCTTTACTCTTCCACCACAGTTCTATAAGTTAGAAGTCCTGGTCCCCAGAAACTGAGGGAGTAAGGTTAGTTACTCAAGGTCACACACTAATTGAATACTCACTAACTAAATTACTTATGGTAATTTAGTGGCTGGAACTGGGAAACAGTCTCATCTCACCACTAGCAATGCCTCCTTCCATTATTATACTGCTCTGATTCTGTCTTCACCTGAACTTTCCCATCTGGCAAATTAAAGTGGAAAACAGTTAACTCCCTCCCCAGAGAGGCTGTGTTATTATATAGATGTTTTGCATTATTTTGCTTTGAATAACAATATATGTAAATATGCTCCTGGAAAAAATTACCTTTATTTTTTAAAACTTGGCCTCTCCCACTGGGGTGAATAGTTGAAAATTATGGGGAGGAAAAGTCAGTCTGGAGAGAATGTCAGTCAGCTTGGAATTGCTTCTCCTTCTTCCTTCTCACCCAACACATATTTCTATTCAGTATCAGCTGCCACAGCAGAGGAAAGACTGGTAAATTTCCTGTCATGGAGCTAGCTGGTTCTGATGTTCAGTGTCCAGAGTGGGTTAATCCAGATATTAGTCATCAACTTTGCATCAGGTTGATATGTAGGGCAGATGTTCTTGCTGAGAAGAATAAAAGCCTCTTGTGGCACCTGGAAGACTTTATCACACATGGTCCCTGGCCAGATCACAAAGAGATTCTAGTGAACGTGGGCTCTTGGCTGTCTCGAACCATCTACCTCTTGTTCAGAGGTTGGCGTATCTCCTCAACTTCAGCTCTTGTGGGGGCCCTGCATTGCTGAGCCCTCCCTATCTTAAACTGCCTTTCCTGGCATTTGAATCATCACTTCGATGATGTGATAATATCTTCAAGTTGGGAAAATAAAAGTGGCATTTGTTTAGCCATAATTAATGAAATATTTATGTTGCATGAGACTATGTGATAAAACCTTGGGCTTAGAGTCCTTTTGCTTCTGATTACATTTGGGATTTTTTTTTTTCTATGACCAGACATTCTGACGCCAGCTCTTTTACACTGAGCAGATGTCATGTAGTAAAAATGGGTGCCAGATGCTGTGAGCCACAGAAGGGCGATTTGTTTAAGAGCTGGCTCTGACTTTTTTGCATTCAATTACTCTGCAGAAGGAACCTTACACAAGCATTTAGGTAACTCAGCTAACTATAGACATGCATTTTAATAATAGATTTCATCTCTGAATGCATTCTAAGCAACACACCATATAAATGGTGTTTAAAGAATTAATTGATTTCTGTATAATACCTTTTTTTTTAATATGAAAAGAGAAGTGCAAAGCTCTTGGCAGGGACCCAGAAATGTAATTAACGTGGAGGGCCAAATTTTCAGTTGCCCTTAGGTACTGCCTCCTCATGCTCCCAGCAGGTGCACTGAGGGGAGGGGCAGTGAGGGTAAGAGGAGAGGAGGGGGAGGCAGCTTTGGGTCATGAAGCAGGAGAAGAAGTTAGGAGTGCAGTGAGTTCTTCTGTTCTCTTTTCAGGTCCTACGCACATCCCCATCAGAGTGCAGGTGACAGGGGCTGCCTCTGCCACCTCTTCGGCCAGCTCCTCCTCTGCAGATGAAGAATTTGATACCCAGCCTTCCTTGCAGTCAAAGGTAACAAGACTTGGCAAACCAAAGAAAACTTGGCTTGTGAGAATCATTTACCACTCAGAATTTAGACCCAATATGGGCTCCAGCTGCGGTGGTTTCATTAAGGGGATCACGTTCAACTGCAGCTGACAGCAACCGGTCTTTTACCTGGAACACCCCAAGAATTTGCTCTTTTTTTTTTTTTTTTTTTTTTT